AGAGAGAGAGAGAGAGAGAGAGAGAGAGAGAGAGAGATCTAAAATCTGGAGAATGTTATATTTCCGACTCCAAGGACTTTTTCTTTAGAACTTGTTTTTCCATTGATTTATTTGACTTTATGTAGGAGGTTGCCTGCATGTGTGTCTGCTCCACGTACTTCTAGTACTCCAGAAGTTGTGAGCTGCCATGTGGGTCCTAGGAATTGAACTCAGGTCCTTTGGAAGAGCAAGCAGTGCTTTTAACCACTGAGCAGTCTCTCCAGGGTGTATCACCTGAGCAATGGGAAATTATCTTATAAGGGTGAATTGTATAAAAGTTAGCTTTGTGCATTCTTAATTTTTACAGTGTCTGTCATTGTAAATGGGTCTGTGTGCACACATATGCCACAGCCTACCTGTGAAAGTCAGAGGACAGTGTGTGGAAGTTGATTCTCTCCACCATGTGGGTCTCGAATATCAAATTGAGGCCTTCAGTCTGGGTGGTTGGTGTCCTTACCTGCCAGACTTTCTCACGGGCTCCTTCCCTCCCACAGATGTCACCATCAGTAGGGTCTGTGAAATCTAAGCACCTTTCAGTACATATGCGCTGGGCATTTCCTGTGTACCAGGCTCTGTTTGGGGCCCAGAGGACAGACAATGAGATGTCCAAGTCCCTGCTGGTGTGACATCAGCGTTTGAACAGAGTCAGAGCACAAACAAAAAGCTGCCAGGTGCCAGGGCAGCCTGGAGAAGAAGCGTGGAGCAGGAGGACAGGGAAGTGGGAGGGGGGCTTCCCACAGGCTCTCAGGGATGGAAACCAGAGTGTGGTAGGGAGGGAGGAAGCCAGACCTGTGCTATGCGGGGAGGATGTCCTAGGTGTGAGGCAGGAGCAGTGGCTAGAGAAGGAAGCGCTAGAGAAGGAAGCGTGCTGAGTAGACCGCAGAACAACACGAGGCCGTGCGGCGTAGCTTCGTCTGTTCATGCTGCACAGCTCAAACGTTTGAAAAGCCTCTTAAATACAAGGCAGTCCTGGTTTCAGTCCTGAGCGTGTGGCTGAATTGGCTGGGACAGAGCTTCAGAAGTCCCCCACCCAGACCCCAATCCCATGATTCCCTTGAGTATGTTAGCTGAGTTGGAGGCCACAGTGAAGACTTGGATGGCCTCACCAAGAAGAGTGATACGGTGTGGCAGAGTCTTAATAGTATGACTTCTGCATCAAGCAGAGGGACCCTTGGGGTGCTGCAGTCATGGGGCCTGGTCTATTGCGTGACAGTGGAGACTGCAGCAAAGGAGCCTGGTTTGGAAAGGTTCTGAGAAGAGTCAGCATGCTTCGCTCATGATTAGATGTGGGTTACAGGTGAACCGGCGAGAGGAGAAAGCGTCTGGGAGGAACAGGCTAGTAGATAGCATTTGCCATTCTTGACCTGAGATAGGTCATGTGCCTGTGTGGAGTAGGTAACTGGGTATGTGGGCCTGAGGTCAGGGAGAGGTGTAGGCCCAGCCGAGAATGACATGCTTACATAGGAATACATAAGGCTTCAATGAACTGGAATCCCTGAAAAACTAGATGGACAGTCCTGGGCTGCGGTGGCCCAACTGATGAGAAGTTCAGGGAAGGAGCTGCTTCTAGCATGAACTCAGTGGGAGGCCTCCTGCCTCAGCCTCCTGAGGATTAAGACCACAGGTGTGGGATTTTATGAGCAAGTAGTCCTTGTATTGGGGGTAGAACTGAGTCAGTCTCTCCTTTATAACAATATAAAGAACCCATCTCAGAAGAAAGTACAGTATGTGTGGGGAGTTTAGTTGTTCAGTAAAATGCAAAAACAAAATTAAACATTGGCCCTGGAGTGGGGATAAACCAAAGCCATTAAAAGCTTGGGGTTCTTTGAGGGCAGGGTCTTTGTGTGGCCTGTGTGTCTCCAGCACTCAGTTCAGTGATGGTAAGAGGCAGCAGCAGCCCGTTTCCCACCCTGAACCAGGAGGTAGAGCAGAGGGTTTTCCAGCATAGCTATACTTCATTTGAAAACCTAGACTGTCATTTGTTTCTTAGACCTTGAAGGTCTCTGTCCCCAGGAGGGTATCCTTGGAGAGGGTGGAGGCAGCCTGCTAAGTGGACAGCGGTTCTGCTGGGGCTGGATGAGAGGATACTGGCTCATGTCTCATACCTGGATCTTTTCCCTGACATGGGACACTCAGGCTTGTGGGGATGTAGTGAAGCCAGGCAAACTCCAGGAGGCCTGGAGGTGGGAGAGAGGCCTGGGGAGCAGGGAGTGGCTACTTGTTTGTTTGTGGGTTTGTTCTTTTGGAAGGCTCTTGCTATAAGAACTCAGGGTCCTCCTGCCTTAGCATCATGAGTGCTAGGAGTTTAAGTGTGCACCACTTCTGTAGACTATGCTTTTCTCTCGTCCTCACCACCTCTTTCCTGATAGCAGTGTTCCCACATTGCTTAGTGTACTGCAGTCAGTTCAAGGGAGTGCCTCACTAGGCAGCGGCCATCCTTGTGACTTCTGATATTCAGGGAGCAGTTGCACCCCTCCAACATCTCTGTCCCTTAGATTGTGGTAGATAAATCCTGATTCTACAAGTAGGCTCCCATGCTAATGTGGCTTATGTCCTGCTTAGTCATATGACTAAGTTCATGAAGTCTCCTTTTCGTTCACACCCTCCCTCATTCTGTGGGTTAGGTACAAAGTTTCTGTGCCTGTGTGTTGACATGAACTCATCTTGCTTGTTGCAGTTTTCCTGTGCTCTGGGGCCCCTCAGGGCACCACAACCTAGCAGAGTCTGTGTGTATCCATTAAGAATCTCAGTGCAGTATGACGGATCCACACAAAGGAGGGTGGGCCTGTTCCCCAGAGTGGAGACTCGAATCAGGAAAGCAGCAAGTTGTGGCTGACTCAGGACAAAAAAAGTATATTACCAGCTCTCTGTGTACTTGAAATGCAAGTAGAGCGTGTCCATGTGAGAGGGGGAAACTGACCACGGTCTGGGCAGGCCCCACCTTTGATTAGAAAGCTACCCAGTCTCAACCTTTGCAGTGATAAAAGTTACTGATGTGAGCTTGCTGGTTGATCCAGCTTGCCCGTGTGTCCATCCCTGCCTGCTGGAGCATGAGTTGGTTCAGTAGAGTCTGAAAGAGCATCTCAGGTCGGCCTCGTCCCTGCTGTCCTCTCGGGAGGCTGTGTCTTGCTGCTGGCTTTCTCCAGACTCCTCTTGCCCACATCAGCATCCCCTCGCTTTGCTCCTGGGGGTGAGAGTCCACTGTTGCATGTGTGCTGTGCAAACCAACGCTGAAAACACCAGTTCTGTGAATGAGCCTTACACCACCCCTGGGAAAGTCATTCATTGGCAGAGTTTCTGGAATAGCAGACTCTATGAGTGAGAGTGTATGTGCAGGTGTGGGGTGTATGAAGAACTGTGACGTGTTATCCAAAACTCTGGCTGCTGGCTGCAGATGGGGCTGTTCAAGCCTTTGCTGCCACTGTGAATGTCTGTTAGTGTGGGGAGGCCACTACCCTCTAGTTCACAGGAGTCCCTTCAAGCTCTAGTGGGTCACCTAGCCCAGAAGTTCCACAGAAGGGCAAGAGTCAGTATTAGAAAATGCAGGAGTGGGCTGGAGAGATGGCTCAGTGGTTAAGAGCACTGACTGCTCTTCCAGAGGTCCTGAGTTCAAATCCCAGCACCCACATGGTGGCTCACAACCACCTCTAATGGGATCTGCTGCCCTCTTCTGGTGTGCAGGTATACACTCAAATAGAGCACCCATGTATGTAAGATAAATAAATATTAAAAAAAGAAAAGAAAATGCGGGAGTAAATACGAGTGCTTCTGTTCCCCACGTCTGAGCAGCTTCTCCTCAGCTTTCCTGGAAGGAGCCACACCTCTGCGTCCCCTTGGCCTCCATGGAGCTCAGGTGCTCTCGCACTCGAACGGAGTTTGCCTTTGGCCTCTCCCACTGTGAGAGTCAAATGGCTTGAATGGTTGTCTTTTAATGCTGGGTGGCACTTACAAACACTTTCCTCTTTTTCCTGTTTTAAGGTGAGAAGCCATTTACTTGTGAAATCTGTGGGAAATCTTTCACAGCAAAGAGCTCCCTTCAGACTCACATCAGAATCCACCGGTAAGCTGGTTTGGGTTGGGGTAAGACAAGATTAGCACTCTAGCGCATGTTACCCCAAACCCGGACTCTAGCTTCTCTGCCCTGAGCATTACAGGTGTAAGCCACCACCCCTGGTGTCTTCAGTAAAGTTTCATTCTGTGGGGTGTCCTATGAGTATATATAAGCCTTTTCTATAGTTGGTACTATGATAGAATTTTATGTATGGCTTATTTTATTTTTTCATTAATTAAATTTCTCATTTAGGCGAAATCAGTGTTATTGATTCTGACCAATAAAATTTGCATTGTTGGTTTCATTATTTAATTTGTATTGAGGGAAGCTAGTCTAAAGCTTAAATCTTCAGTCAAAACTAAACATTAGGGCCTAGGGAGGGTGACAGAGGAGGAACCAGTGTAACCTCTGGTCTCCATGTGCACACAAAGACAGAATACACACACAAACATCAGTAAGTATGGTACCCTGGAAGTCTCAGCATTTGGGAGTAGAAGCAGAGGGTGCCCACAAGTTCAAGGGTAGCCTAGACTACAGAGTTAAACCATGTCTCAAAAGAAGAAAAAGAATTTACGTTACCTAGAGTTGATTATGATAGTGTGTGCCTACAAGCCCGGCACTTGCTCGGCAGGGGCAGGAGGAGTACGTTTGAAGCCAAACGGGATTACATAGGAAAATTCCATCCAAAAGAAAAAGTATTTTTGAACAAAATGTTTTGTTCAGAAAACTTACTCCCCGGTTGGATTAAGGTATATATCTAAAAGCTTCAAACATGATTAGGAGGGGCTGGAGAGATGGCTCAGTGGTTAAGAACACTGACTCTTCTTCCAAATGTCCTGAATTCAGTTCCTAGCAACCATCTGTAATGGGACAGTGTACTCATATACATAAAATAAATAAATGTTTAAAAAAGAAAGTTAATCAGGAGCTGCTTGAATTGTTTCAATATTGATATTAATCATAATATATATGCACATACCTAATTGGCCTTTAAAGTCTAAAAAAAGCTGTAAGAACTAAAACCAAAATAGAACTGTCCATGCAGTACAGAATGTTTACTTTTTTATTTGAAACACAGAACAACAAAATTACAAACTTTCAGCCCATATAGCAAAGTCCCATCTGCCACCCCACACCCTTTAAGACCCCTTTTAAAATTTATCTATCTATCTATTTACTTTATTTATATGATATACTGTAGCTGTATTCAGACACACTAGGAGAGGTCATTGGGTCCCCCATTAGAGATGGCTGTGAGCCACCATGTGGTTGCTGGGAATTGAACTCAGGACCTCTGGCAGAGCAGTCGGTGCAGATAGTGCTCTCTCCAGCCCCACCCTTTTTTATTTTTGAGACTTGAAACTGAAGCACATAGAAGTGGCTCACTCAAAGTCCATAAGTTGGTAGAACCTGTGACTTAGGAATCAGTCTGTGTTCTTTTAGTTTTGGTTTTTTGTTTTGTTTGTTTGTTTACTGTGAAGCAGAGTTAGAGTATTTTCAAGGTTTGACATGGATTGAGTCACTGGCATTAAAGCCACAGTGAGCACTCAAGGGTCTGGTGCTTGACATTCCGTTCCTCTTGATGGCTTTGCCTAAGGAAACAGGAAGTAGAAAGCAAGTGTCTCTGTGTGTGTTTTCTTACAGAGGAGAAAAGCCATATTCCTGCAGCATCTGTGGCAAGTGCTTCTCTGACTCCAGTGCCAAGAGGAGACACTGCATCCTACATACGGGCAAAAAGCCTTTCTCCTGCCCTGAGTGTAGCTTACAGTTTGCTCGCCTAGACAATCTGAAGGCGCACTTGAAAATCCACAGCAAAGAGAGGCACACGTCGGATCCCAGCAGTGCGTCTGGCAGTGCTGCCGACGAGGTCCGGAGCAGTCTGCAGCTGCAGCCATACCAGCTCTCCACCTCAGGGGAGCAGGAGATTCAGCTTCTCGTAACCGAGTCTGTGCACAGCATTAACTTCATGCCAGGCCCCAACCAGGGGCTTAGCATTGTAGCTGCCGAGGGCTCTCAGAACATGGCCACAGACCCGGCTGCCAGCATCACCCTGCTCACACAGCAGCCGGAACAACTGCAGGGCCTCATCCTGTCAGCTCAGCAGGAGCAAGCAGAGCACATTCAGAGCCTCAGTATGATCGGAAGCCAGATGGAGTCCTCCCAGACTGAGCCAGTGCATGTAATCACACTTTCCAAGGAGACGCTGGAGCACCTCCACGCCCACCAAGAGCAGACAGCCAACTCAGTACCTGCAGCTGACACAGGAGCCCGAGCCACCCCTCTCCCCTCCACTAGGCCAGGAGCAGAGCTGACCGAAGCGCCTCTGACCATTCCACTGGACCCTTCCCCTGGAGCAACAGTGGCAGGATGGCCCTTTGGGCCATCATCTTACAGATCCTTAAAGATGTGACCCTGCCATTCTTTATAATGGGCTCCATCAGGGCAGAATCTGTCTTATGTATACTACCAACTCGTATCTAGCATTTAAATATTGATGAGGGGTTCCACTTTGATGTACTATGTCTCTTCAAGATTGGCAGGCTTTCTTTGGAGGCATTGATTTTCCACTTTTCTATAAGTGTTGAATGTCCACAGCCATAGAGTATGGTCTTGTTTAGAACAAACAGTCATGCAGAGGTCAACTCACTGGGCATAGTGGACTCCATCCGGTTAGTGCTGTCAGTATGATTGCCATTCCACCAAGTCAGGCCTGACTGTAAGTGATGACAGCAATCAGGGATTCTTCCTCCATCAACTTCTACCCCTCGGAGAGCACCTCTTGAATGTTATCTCTGTGTGGTACAGTGGGCTCACCATGTTGTACTGAAGGTAGATTCATGCTCAGAAACCATACTCATGACACAAAAGCCAAAGTCCTTTTAAATTTTTTGCATTCAACTTTTCTTTGAAACATGGATTTATACATTTTTTTAAGAAGCAGGCTATTAAATTTTATTTTAAAAAATCTCCAAAGCATAAAACTGGATCAAGATACTCATTCCAAATAAACCAAATTTTGTCAGATAGTGATACTTGGTTTTTATCAAAAAGGATTCTTAATTACCTGGAACGTTAAAAGTTTCTTCAATATAAGTCCTAAATACACTGCTGAATTCTACTTGAGTGCAAAATACTGATTTATATGTTTGACCTTAGAACCTCCATATACACTGATGGATCTTTATTGTACTCTAGGTTAGATCCCACAACACCCCACAACACCCCACGTAACCTTGAGCCTCAGATGGAAATTAGCCAGCCTGTGTCTTTGATTGTGTGACTTTCAAATCATCACCAAAAGGTTAAGTGATGTGTGGGTTATGTTTTCAAGATCAGTGCATTAGCTGAAGTCTTTGACAGACTTCTCAGGAAGCTGGCAGCCATGCTTGAGAAGAGAAAGAGGGTGCTAGGAACACGGTGGAGGGGCCCAGTCGGTGTGAACTCAGCGTCTCCTCCACAGCCACGTTCTTACTTTAGATGACCTGAATTTCCACCCATGCAAATGAAAGAGACAACTGTCACTTGGTTCTTCAGGTTAGCAAGAACATCTTTGTTCTGTATTTACCAAGTTGTGTTTTATTATACATAATTTACAAATTGAATTACAAGTTGTATCAGTATGCATCAACCTAGTAACGTGGGATCTGATCTGACTAGAACAACCTGTTTACAAATACTGCCTTACTTTAGTATTAGCACACTTCGGTCATTCAAGCCAAGCGTTCACTGTCTGTGTGAGCATGGGTTAGATACGAGTCTTACCCACCGAGCCCTTCCTCTAGTCCGTTCATTCGTAAAGCACAAAGTAGTTACCATCTTTTCAAAACAGCCAATACTCAGTTTTTCTAGAATTCTACATTGTATTAAAGTAAAATTTCCCCCCTGTAGATAGCTAGTTATCCAGAAATATGACTGTGTGGCTGTTGGTTTGGCCTTGGTGTAGGAGACTCAGCCTATACATATGTATAATAACGGTCTTGCTCTGTGATGTCCAGGCTGAGGTAAATGTCTCTCCTTTCAAGTGACTGACTGCAGACGTAGTCCGTATGCCTACATGACTGGTTACAAGTTTAGTTTACTTTATAACAGTCTACCTCAGCACTAAGAAATAAATTTCTGTGAGGTCAACCTGGTAGTGCAGGCCTCTGATCCCAGGACTGCGAGGTGGAGGCAGGGGTGCCTTGAGTATAAGGCTAGCCTGAGCTACTTAAACCCTGTAACAGAAATCAAGGCCTGGGATGCAGTTCTGTGGGAGTGCATCCCGGCATGCACAGCCTGCTCCGTCCTCAGCACTGGGGAATTCATACTTTTCAAAAGCCACATGTAACAACAGATGACATTAATCCTAACAGTTATTTAATCTACCATCCTGCTCGGTCTTCATTGTCAGCACGGCCTCTACAGCGCCACAGAGAGAAGCAATTGAGGGATTGCCTAGAACAGTGGCTCTCAGCCTTCCTAATGCAGCTCCTCAGCTGTAAACGACACCCAGTCCCCACAGGGGTTGCAACCCACAGGTTGAGAACTTCTGGCCTGGCTCAAGTTGGTCTGTGAGAAACTGCCTTGATTGTTAATTGATGTAACAAGGGCCCACCCCCTGGGTGGCACCATTCCTCAAGCAGGTGGTCTCCAGGCTGTATTAAAAACTAGTTATGCATGAACCAGCGAGCCACCGGTGGGCAAGCCAGCAAGCCACAGTCCACTGTGTCCTACCCTGAGCTGCTGCCCTGACTTACCAGGGATGGATTACAAGTAAACCCTTTCCTCCCCAGCTTGCTTTGGTCATGGTATTTCACGCAGTAGTAGAATGTGACTAGAACATTTATTACCAAATATTTCAAAATGTAATTAATATTAAACTGAATTAATGAGATTTTAATCCTCCCCTTGATATAAAACCCTCAAGATAAGTTGTATATTTCACACTGCCTACATATCAGTTTTGGCAACAGTGTTTACTGGCATTTGATTTGCCTTTAGATTTCATACAATGTATAGATTAAAAACCCAGATGTGTCTATCAAGTAGTTCAGACAACTTTTTGATAACTGAAAGAAATACTTCGGTTTAACTTTGAGAAGTCAAGGCCAGTTCCTTGGCTCACCTGGCTACATTATAAGCCCCTCCACACTGTCTGTAGCACAGGATTCAGTCCCAGCCTTGACTGCACTATCTGACTGGCTCACAGGAGAATCAGAGAGTGATGGCTGTCTTGCCCTAGCTCCCTCATTCCTCTTACTACTCTCTGCTTACTCTTCATGACATGCCTATGAGGTAAGTATCATCATCATTAGGCCCATTTTACAGATGAGAATAGTGAGGCCCAAATACACACCCTATATTTGGGTGTGTCCTCAGTACATACCCTCTCCCTTGGAATGAACCTCCTTTTTCATAGGTTTCTAAAACAAACTTTTTAAAAGGTTTGTTTCATTTTTATGTTTATGAGTGTTTTGCCAGCATGTAAGTCTGTGGGTCATATGCCCTGAGAAGTCAGAAGAGAGTGGCAGATTCCCTGGAACTGGTGCTTTTGATTAAAAACCGGAAGGCACATTGCCACCTTTAATTCTAGCATTCAAGAGGCAGGCAGGTCTCTGAGTTCGAGGCCAGCCTGGTCTACAGAGTGAGTTCCAGGACAGCCAAGGCTACACAGAAACATTGTCTCAAACCCCAAAATAACCAGAATTCCTAAGACACCATGTGGTTTGGAGACTGGTCCTTTCTGGCCATGGCATGGCCTTTGCTGGGCCCACATAGAGGGCACTGCCTTGTCAACATCACAGATTTCTACGTGACAGTTGGCAGAGATCTGATGTCTGAGACCTCTTCCCTGGCTTCCTGCTCGTTCTGTCTTCTGTGCTCCTCCCTCTGTCCAGCCTCCCGCCTTTCAGAGACACCAGGCATGCTGCATTAGCCCACACTGAGAATCCAATTTGTAACTTCTGTAACTTGAAAGGTCCTGTTTCCAAACACAACCCTCCTTGGAGGCAGTAGGGTTGGGGCTTCAACACAGATTTGGAAGGGAGGATGGGACAAGGGACAATTCAGTGCTGATGGGCTCCTGGGCTGAGAAGGGACTGTGCTAGGACACACCTGTAACCCATAGGAGCAACCTGCTCACTCTTCATGACATTCCTCTGAGGTAAGTACTATTATTATCACTAGGCCCATTTTATAGATGAGAACAGTGAGGCCCAAAGAGATAAAAGCCGTAGAGTAGCAGAGCCGGAACTGAGGCCCAAGGCTGGCCGATCCCATTATACTGCCTTGACAAAAATAAGTTAAACCTAAGAGTGAGGGTCTGTGTCTGAAAGGTTGACAATCAAACGTACTTTAGAATTAGTGTCTCTCCTACAGAAAGGATCAGCACCATTGCAGTTATACAGTGAAATTAAAATTTATCAACCAGATAGAAGTTACTCTGAAGGTGGGCATACCTTAACTCCCTCAACCTCTGTGAGTTGGCTTTTTTTTTTTTTCTTGCTTTCTATTTTTCAAAGTAAGGGTATTTTGAGTCTAGGACAGATTTGTTTTATAAGCATTAAGCTACATTTTTATCTTCGGTTTCTGAATTTCAGCCTAAACCCTCATGAGATCTAAGGAAACCCTTTATCCTTGCTTTTGTAAATAGGAATAACCTCTAAAACTGAAATCTCCCTAGCCTGGCTCATTCTCACAGGAAGGAGTGACCTCTGCATGGAGCTGGTGTCACTGTAATCACCTTGTTTCAAAGTCATTACCCATGACTAAGCAGGAGGACTTTGGTTATCAGGCTATTCTCACCTGAGATGTCCCACACTAGACAAATCTTTAAGCTAAAGCTCATTCTACTAGATTTGTGATAAAATGTAGGAACCTGACCACGTCTCCGTAATACCGTCAAAGGCTCTTTGCAAAGTGATCCACTTCAGTGACATACGGGAAGAAGAAAAGAAATGAACACTCATGGGACAGAGAAATTCTGTGTCCTGGAGCATGGATTTACTGTTTTGAATGTTACTAACTGTAATAGAACCCTTCATGAATTTGAAAATGATTTCCCAAGAATAGTTTGGCTATTGGCTTTAACTTGGTTTGGTTTGTCAACTCAGAATTTCATACGGGTCAAACTGGGCTCGATATTCTGATCCCCCTGTCTCCACCTACCAAGTGCTGGCATCACAGGTGTGCAACACCATGCCTGGCCAACTCCATATTACTCTATCCCCGTTAAGTGGAAAGTTAGACTGAGGCTTTACTGGGCAAGATTAGAGAAAGCCACATTTTTAAAAATTACGTGACTAAGTGACTTTTGGCCTGGAAAAAATAGTTCCTGTAATTGTGTTTGAGGAGCAAAAGGAGATGTGAGAAGAATTGGGTCCTTTATTACGGAGGAGGCTGTGAATCATTCTCTGACCTCCAGAGAAAGGGTTGCACAGAGAGCAGTATACGCCAACAGTGCCACTCCCTGGGCTAAGCATATACAAACCACCGCATTCCGTCCGCTGGCCCCCATACGCTTGTTCAAACATGAGTCTATGGGGACCATACCCAAACATAGCATAATGCAAAATACATTTAGTCCAACCTCAGAAGTACCCATAGTCTGTAGCAGTCTCAACAGTGTTAAAAATCCGAAGTTCAAAGTCTCTTCTGAGATTAATCCAGTCACTTTACTGTAACCTCAAAGCAGGACGGGAAACCAGCTGGGCAAACTCCAAACTCTGTATTTCCATATCTAATACCAAGGCGGTCTGCAGATCTTCAACTCCTTTTTCATCTTTGTTGACTGCAATAAACTTCGTTCTCCTGGGCTGGTTCCACTTTCTGTTAGCAGCTTTCCTCAGCAGATAGCCCACGGCTGGCTCTGGCATCTTGAACATCTTGGGGTCTCCAAGGCAACTTAAACATCACAGCTTTTTGTTCTGTTGTCTGGGATCCACACATGATCTAGGCTCCTCCAAAGGGCTTGTGTCACTTCTCCAGCTCTGCCCTCTGTAGCACTCTAGGCTCTCTGGTCGACTGCCTCTGGTGTTGATCATCCTCTGGTGCAGGCATCTCCAACACTCTGGGGTCTTCCACTGAAACTAGGCTTTACCAATAGCCTCTCTTCATGGCGCCAAGCCTCAACTTCTTTGCTTGACCCCTTCAGTCCTGGGCCATCAACTGTAACTGAGACTGCACCTTCACCGATGGCCTTCCATGGCCTCTCACAATGCCAAACCTCAGCTGCTCTCCATGACCCCTTCATGCCTTCAAAACCAGTACCACCTGAGTGACTCTTACACATTACCAAGTCCAGCTGCAGCATGAGGTACAACCTTGGCTCTCTGAAACACAGCTTCTTTGTGCTCTTAGGAAACATTTCCCAGAAGATTTCACCTCAGTGATGCTGGTCTCTTCTTAATCACCACAAATTTCTTAGCTCCAGCTAACCAGCATCAACTGTCCCAGTAGTCCCTTTTATTTTGGACTCTAAAGCCAGAGCCGCATGGCTGAAGCTGCCGAGTTCTGCTGCTTGCTGGGGCTGGAACATGTGCCCCACCTTGTTCTATTACCAGCTTTCTGTTTTCCAATTCCCTCACTGCCTAAGCTTGGCTGTCCTGAAGCTTGCTATGTATATTAACCTTGAACTCAGTCTGCATGGTTCTGTCTCCTTAATGCTGGGATCAAAGGCATGTACTGTACCACATACCTGAATTTAAGCTTTTCTCTACTTGGAACTTGTTCTATACCAGGCTGGCCTTGAACTCAGGAATCTGCTTGCCTTGTCTCCTGGGACTAAAGCTGTGTACCACCATGCTTGGACCTAAGCTTTTCATGGTCACTGTCCTCAAGATCTGGATCAAAAGTCTGTGTCTTCCAGTCTCAAGGTCTGGATCACAGGTGTCCCCTCCATTTCTGGATGGTTGTTCATTCCAAATTAAAAGTGCAAACTATTCCTTGTTCAACTGCAAACATAAACAATAAGCTTAGCTGGGTGGGCTCTTGCCCTGAGATCACCACTCCCTTAATCTCTTTATCTCCTTGAACACAGGACTCAACTCCATCTCACTTCCTGGTGCCCCTTTATTACTTGAATTATACATTTTATATTTTTCCTTTTCATTAAAATGTTCTTCATAAGACTAAACCAGAGAACAAAGTCTCTGCTGGGCTCTTCTGAGACTTCCTTTGTCAGTGCAATTAAGATAAATCTCTTTACCTTAGCCTCAGGTAGAGTCTTCAGATAAGGACAAAAAGCAGCCACATTCTTCACCAAAATACAGTCTCTAGGCCATATACTGAAATTCTTCTCCACTGAAACCCCTTGGGCCAGGTCTACATAGTTCAAATCACTCTCAGCGATAAATTCTTCCTATTCCTTCTAGGATGGCCCATTAAGCCCCACTTAAAACATTCCACTGCTGGGCAGTGGTGGCACACGCCTTTAATCCCAGCACTTGGGAGGCAGAGGCAGGAGGATTTCTGAGTTCGAGGCCAGCCTGGTCTACAGAGTGAATTCCAGGACAGCCAGGGCTACATAGAGAAACCCTGTCTCGAAAAACCAAAACAAACAAACAAACAAACAAAACAAACAAAACAAAAAAAGCATTCCACTGTTTTCTAAATCCAAAGTCTCCAAATCTACATTCTTCCAAACAAAAGCATGGTCAGGCCTACCAGTTCCTGGTACCAGCTTCTATCTTGGTAAGGGTTTTACTGCTGTGAAGAGACACCATGACCAAGGCAACTCTTATAAGGACAACATTTAACTGGGGCTGGCTTACAGGTTCAGAGGTTCAGTCCATTATCATCATGGCTGGAGGCATGGCAGCATCCAGGCAGGCATGGTGCTGGAGAAACTGAGAATTCTACATCTTCATCTGAAGGCCACTAAGACTGGCTTCTGCGTGGTTAGGAGAAGGGTCTTAAAGCCCACACCCACAGTGACACACTTCCTCCAACAAGGCCACACCTCCAAGTAGTGCCACTCCCTGGGCCAAGCATATTCAAACCACCACACAGAGGGATACATAGGTGTGGAGAGGAATGGGAAAAAAGACATGCAAGTTTATTTCAGATTCGCCCAGTGGTAAAGAGGAGCAGTTATTTAGTTTTTGTGGGGATTCCCTGCCCCTGGTTATTTTATGACAGGGTCTCTGTAGCTCAGGCTGGCCTTGTTATATAATGAAGATGACCTTGAACTTGGATCCTCCTGCTTCCATCTCCTGAGTGCTAAAGTTACAAATAGAGGCCACCACATCCCGTTTTCATATGATGCTGGGTGAAACCAGGGCTTCTTACATGCCAGGGAAGACTACCAATTGAGCTACATCCTCAGCCCAGGAGAGATTCTATTTATTTATTTATTTATTTATTTATTTATTTATTTATTTAGTGTATATGACCACATTGTCCTTGACACACCAGAAGAGGGCATCAGATCCCATTACAGATGGTTGTGAGCCACCGAGTGGGTGCTGAGAATTGAACTCAGGACCTTTGGAAGTGCTGTTAACTGCTGAGCCATCTCTTCAGCCTCCAGGAGAGATTCTTAATGAGGCCCTACGCAGGCACGCGGGCTCGCATCCGTGCACGCATGCACAACCTCTGCCCCACATGGGACCTATCACCAAGCCCTATCAGTTTTACCTCAGGCTATCTTTGAGTGTATCCTGTTCCCATCTTCACTCTATGCTGTGTCCCTTCCCTAGACTCTGCCATGGGTTCTAATTCCCCTGCCAAGTCCTTTTCTCCTATAGAAAGTTGTATTTTTTTACCATTGTCCTCTTAGCAACAAACAGAATGCCTTGCTAAATGGATAGATTATATTATTTTAATTATGACTTCAACTCCTTCTGCAATTCCCCTTTGCACCTAGAATAAAATCCCCAACCCAGCTTCCTCTTTGGCCCTTCTTCTGCATTCTCACTTCCGGCCACACTGGTTACCTCTCTCTCTATTGGCCAATACACACCCTGCTCATTTCTGCCTGAGGACTTAGTGGGCAGGTGGTTCCTCAGCCTGGAAAGTTGTCAGAGCTCGATGATTCACCCCATTCAAGTCAAAATTACCCTCTTCCAGACCCTCTACCCGTCCAGCGTCTCTTAGCCATGCTACAGCCTTGCTTCAGTGTCAGTTTTACATTGGGAACTGTGGCTCTCTGGGCTGGACTGACTCTAGGTCAGGCCTATGAGAGCTGAAGATTCTGAGCTTCAGATTCAAGGTCATATTATAGACTGACTTACAGATGTCTTCTGTGGTGTTAGAAAGTTTATTTTCTGGCTCTAAGCCCAGGAGATCAGAGGTTGGGAGGTAAGATAAGGAAGTAAAAATGGCTTCACAGAAAGACAGAACTTGGTCTGAGGCACCAAAAAAAAAAAAAAAAAATAAAAGAAGAAAAAAAAAAAGAAAAAGAAGATCCTGTCCTTAGTGCTACAGGACTTTTAACCAAGCAGCCGCTAGAGCAATTTTCCCCAAAGCCATTAGAATGAGATTCTTTTAAAATTGAATTTTCATGTGTGGGTCATTTATTTTATTTAATCCAGCATGAACTATAGTCAGTATGACGAGGCCAACTACTTTTAGCTCACGTAAATACACGACTGAGGATCATAACTCAAGATCCTAATAAGGAAAAAAAAAATGCTTGTTTTACTCTATAGGTTTCTGAGAACCGGCAACACTGAATAAAAAGAACCCAGACCTGAAACAGGCTGCGGAAGTTGGGTCATTTAAAATGTCTCCATCTAAAGACCAGATTCAGGCGTGCCGTTGGTGATTTCGAATCACAGTTGGCCTGGTACAGAAATCTGACCAGACAGGCAGCCCTCCCGGAGTCAGATCCCTGCCCTCCACAAGGTTCTGTGCTCTACCGTGGGTCTTTAACGAGCAGCAAGGAAAGCTGTAAAGCAGCAGGGTTTTAAGAGTCAAGGAACTCGTTCTGTGATCTTTTTAAAAGAAGGGCTTTACAGTTGTTGCTCATAGAGCCATACAACCCTGTTTGGCTACAACTGAAAGTCTCTGGGGGAACCTGGGCCTTTGTAAACAAGACACAGTAAGTTGCTGGCATCCATCTGCTAATAAAAGGGAAAGGCATGGTCCTGAAAGCCGGAAGCCCATTTATACTGGGCTTTTTAGAGCATTTTTACACTGTGTGTTTAAGCATGGGTGTGTCTGACATTCTGCAAATTTGTTCCTAAGCAAAATGATGTCATTCTCAAGAACACGAGTGGGACCAGCTCAGAGGCTTCCCTCGCTTCCAGGGTGTGTGAGCTGGCTGGATTGTTGGCCTCTCCTGGGAGAGGGCTTGCATTTCCTCTTGCTTCTCTCTCCTTCTTATCAGCTGCAGCCAACTGTGCTGAGATCTCGGGATTTACTGACTATCCCAGCATCTCTGGACAAAATGTAAAATAATTATACAAAAAAACAAAACAAACAAAAAAAAAACAACAAAAAAGACAGCTACTGAACCTCGGCTCTTGTTGGTCCCTGGACCTCAAGGGGAGAGAGATGTACCCATTTCTTCCTAGGTTAAGCACTTCTTGGGTAGAGATTTTACTTCCTCATGATGTCAAACTTCATCTCAGGCCCATGAATTAACAGTGGTAGGTTGGAGCCCAGAAAGGCCTGGGGCTGATAGCATCTATGCCACTGGCTGTTGAGCCTGTGTTCAACTCAGTGAAGTCTCATTGACTTTTCAGTAAAATAGGTTCTGTCAATGCTCATGCAGTAAACGAGAAGTGCCGTTTATTTAGCTAAAGCTGCTTGATTTTTGAACAATTCCTTTCACGCTACAATTTCTTAACGGGAAATATTAAGAATTTGATTCTAAAGTTTCTCAGCATTGTCAGTTTCCTGAGTCTTCATTTTAGTTCTGAACCGTAAAGTTCTAGCGTCTCCCACAGACCCCTACCATTCTGCCTTCCTTAGTTGAGCTCGCGCGCGCTCAACTAACACACACACACACACACACACACACACACACACACACACACACTTATTCCCTTACTTTGTGTACCTGGTTGAAAGATGCGGACCAGGACTTTAAGCTTTGTCCTTAGCCTGAGCCTAGAAGCCGGCCGACCTGTCCCAGGAGAGACGGACCCCGCAACTGGATCTTCGGTGGCGCCAGGGGTGTGGATTTCTCGGTGGGAGAGGTGAGGAGAGCTCAGACTTCTGGCGCCACTCTCGGATCCTGCAGCTTCAACAAACTTCTTGCCGGAGGCCTGCGCCCACTCCGCCAGCTCTCGGAAGTGGCCTATAGCTTGGGTACCGCCGGGGCGGACTCAGTCACGGTCACTCAAGTCTCTGCTCTCCCTGTCCCTACCAGGCCAGACCGTTTGGAGTCCCCCAGCAGCCCCTGGTGTAGGCAGAGCCACGCCCTACAGCACCACCCTGCAGACGTGGGCGGGGCGCAGGCTGTCCCAAGAGGAGGACTGCGGCAGGATGAGGTGTGGGTAAGTCTTCCTCCGTGTTCCGAGCTGGCGCTGCGGTCCAAACTCCTCGGAACTCCCCGAGTCCAGCCACCAGGCATCTCTTGCTTTCCCTGCGCCACCCCTTCCTCTGCCCTAGCCCTGGGACACCCTTCCGAGAGGAAGCGTCTCTTCCAGCCCCAGAAACCACAGGTAAGTAGTCCAGCGGTGCCAGCTGTGCGTCCTCCGGCTCGCTGGGTTGGGGGTGAGAGTAAGGAGGGGGGCGGGGAGCGCTTCCGGGAAAAATGGGTTGGGGAGCCACGCCTGGCTGGCTTGGCGGGTCCTCCTGCCCGCCCTACAGCGCCTTTGTGCAGATTTTGCTGTCTAGAGTGTCGGGAGCACCTCACCCCCGTTGTCTAAAGGTCCAGCTCTTCATCCCTTTAGACGCTCTGCCTATGGCACATCCTCTGTGCTTGTGTTTCCAGCCTGGGTACCTCTCTTATGTCCTTTAGCAGAGGTCGCTCCAACCCCCAGACTCCCACTTCCAAGAGGGACTCCTGTCCTTTCTGAAGACCTTTCCATTCTTGTCCTGGTGATCCGCAGTGGGCAACCTTTGCCTCCTCCTACCGCGCGGGACCGGCTCACAAGGACCTAACCCTCAGTTTGACACCCACCCTACTTAGCTGCCTCTCCCACCGAGAGCAACCCATCCCCCCCCCACCCCCGTACTCTTCATCTCTTCCTGTGGCAGCGTGAGAAAGCCCTCCAAGAGCCCTTAAGCTGTGTGTGGGCTGGAGAGAAGGAAAGGGGTACAAAGAGGCCTTGTCTCCAGAGATTCCTAGGAGAACACAGAGGAACGCCCGTGGGAGTGAGGCTAGGGGTCGTTTAGTTGTTAGGGTCCTCGGAAGGGGCAAGCCGAGCCGCTGCTGTCCCCGCTCCTTCCCACAGGCCGTTGGAACAGCAGCCACACGATCTCAGGGGAAGTGTTTTGACCACAGTGAGTCAGAAGGTCTGTCATACCGTCAACAGTCACAACATTCTCAGGCTATTTGTGAGGGTAGTTTGGGAGGCTGGGAAGTGGAAACTACAAGACAGTGTTGCCCCTTGTCAGGAGGCAAGCACGTGGGGAAGAACTTTGCCTTTAGGGAGAGGCACGTCCCACAACCAGCGTGGCACTAAGTCCGCCAAAGGGCGCTGGCTTACAGACTTAAGAAGAAATGGGTGCGTGTCTGTCAAGCGGCTGCAGCTGTACAGGGATGTTAGTTCCTGCTGTCTACAAAAAGGGAAACCCCCACCCCCACCCCACCCCGGCAGCTCGCTGAGAAACTCTCCTGTGTCCTACTTATGGGACCTAGGGACCGCCTACTCTTACTACAATTCCTTGTCCTCTGGAACTCAGATATCCCATATGATGGCTGCTGTGTGTCACTGGACGACGGGAGGCTCCCTTAGGGTCCTTGTGTCCAGGACTACTGAGTTTTCATTTCTAAATTTGGCGAATTTCACTTTATAAGAGATAGCTGTTGTCTCGGGGCAGTGGGGGGCGTTCCAGATCATGGCCAGGAGAGAGCAGAACCAATCAGAGGTCGACATTGAGCTCCCTTGTGACACAGGCCTGCTCTGCTGGCTCCTCCCTCTTTCTTTCCCTCCCTCCAATCTTTCCTTCTCTTCTTTCAACAGGCACTGAGGTCTCCCCAGCTGCTCCTCTTGTCAGCAGGGGCCCTACATGGCGTCACCAACTTCCACCAACCCTGCACATGACCACTTTGAGACCTTTGTGCAGGCACAGCTGTGCCAGGATGTACTGAGCAGTTTTCAGGGGCTCTGTCGAGCCCTGGGAGTGGAGTCTGGTGGGGGATTGCCCCAGTACCACAAGATCAAGTCCCAGCTCAACTACTGGAGTGCCAAGTCACTGTGGGCCAAGCTAGACAAGAGAGCAGGCCAGCCGGTGTACCAGCAAGGACAGGCCTGTACCAACACCAAGGTAGATACATAAGAGTCTGGGAGCGTTGTGTGCAGTAGAGGACTCTGAAGGAGACAGGATGCTACACACCTGCCCACCCATGTGTGCTTGCAGTGTCTCGTGATAGGGGCCGGGCCGTGCGGACTTCGGGCTGCCGTGGAGCTGGCACTGTTGGGTGCCCGAGTGGTGCTTGTGGAAAAGCGTACCAAGTTTTCTAGGCACAACGTGCTCCACCTCTGGCTCTTCACAATCCAGGACCTTCGGGCACTAGGTGCCAAGAAGTTCTACGGGCGCTTCTGTACTGGTACCCTGGACCACATCAGTAAGAACTTTATGTTGGCTCTCGGGTTGGTGTGCCTGAGTCTCGAGGTGGGAGACTGCAGGGCCAGGCAGAAGCCAGGGTGAACAGGAGTCACCTTAACGAGGTGACCTTTAAGAACCGGATCTGACATCTGTAAAGCAGACAGTGATTTTTCTAGTCCAGGTAGTAACCTGCCTGGTTTCTGAGCTCAGATGTTATCGGGTGTTCAGAGGTGTGTGTCATAGATAGGCTCAGTGGTCTCTTATGCCTCCTCCAGCTCTGAACAGGCACACACCAGAGCGAGAGGAGGCGTGAGTCCGTTCCTAACGCCGTCTCACTTCCAGGCATCCGACAGCTTCAGCTGCTTCTACTGAAGGTGGCATTGCTGCTAGGGGTGGAGATTCACTGGGGCGTCACGTTCACTGGCCTCCAGCCCCCTCCCAGAAAAGGCAAGTATTTCCGTGCTCTCGGGAACCCCTGTCCACCAAAGAGAGAGCCCTACAAGATGATAAGGGAGGTCTGGCAAGAGTCAGCTGACTCTTTCCTGACAGTGAAGTCTGGGCAGCCCTAGCCTCAGACAGCGAGTCTGAGAGAAAGCAAGGTAGGCATAGCATGACCTTCCTCTCCTGCCTTCCTTGGCTGCCGGGAGGTGTCATCTGATAAACTACTTTCCAGACTGTTGAACCCTTTACGAATTTATTTTTCTCTAGCCTGACCTGGGAGTGTAGGGTCCCTCTGACCTCTACATCTTTGTGGTTCTCATACCCTCTGTCCCAGGGAGTGGATGGCGTGCCCAGCTCCAACCCAATCCCCCAGCCCAACTGGCCAACTATGAATTTGATGTCCTCATCTCAGCTGCAGGAGGCAAATTTGTCCCTGAAGGTGAGTGACCCTTTTCTTCATAGATGGATGATTGATAGATGACAGATAGATAGAAGCCAGCATCCCAGGCTCCCCTGAGACTTCCTCCCCCACCTCCCCCTACCACTAGGCTTTACCATACGAGAGATGCGTGGCAAACTGGCCATCGGCATCACAGCCAACTTTGTGAACGGACGCACGGTGGAGGAGACACAGGTGCCGGAGATCAGTGGTGTAGCTCGGATCTACAACCAAAAGTTCTTTCAGAGCCTGTTCAAAGCCACAGGTTAGAGCCCACCCTCGAAGGCCGTCCCTTCTCTTCCCTTTACTATGGGGTGTTTCCCACTTGCCTCTCATGGCTCGCTCCAAGGAACCCCATTTTTGTCCGTCCTTGGTGGTCTCACCAGCAGAAGAGGAAGAACTGTCCTCCAGGGACCAAGCAGCCGCTCGCTTGGCATGAAAGACCCTGAAACTCTCTCTCAAATGCCTGGCTACTTTGCTCTGTGCTCCTTCATGCTGGAGAGTAAGAATGATGTACGTTGCAAACGTATGTTCAAGAGGGTGCTGTGTTTACTTTGGCTTTATACTGCTGCTATGTGACCAAGTGATATAGGCCTCCCAGCTGTCATTCCACCTGGGTTCCTCTCTCTGCTCCCAACTGGCAAAGCGTCCAGGGCCAGGACAGATGGCTCTTGGTGCCAGCAGATCTGTGTGTGGAACACTCAGCCTAAGCCATGGCTTCAGCTCTGCGAGGTCAGCCACAGCGTGATGTATGCAGAATCACTGAAGACTCTTCTCCTGTCCCCTGCTCTGCTCGACAGGTATTGATCTGGAGAACATCGTGTACTACAAGGATGATACTCACTACTTTGTGATGACAGCCAAGAAGCAGTGTCTGCTGAGGCTGGGGGTACTGCGCCAGGTAGGCCTTAGGCCCAGGAGGGAGGAGGGAGGAAGGAGGAGGCTGGGCTGGACACAGTCTACCCCTGGTTATGGACGGACCGCATCCTCTCCTACCTCCAGCTATTTGACAAGCTTGTGCTCCCTGAATGTAGGTGGCAGTAGAAAGCCTAGTCTAGGCTAAGCTTACAGATCTGGTACTAGTCTATTGTGCTCCAGGACTGAGGGGTTTTGTCTCTTTTCCTCTTGCTGGTTGTTAGTTCCCAGGACTTAGCTTGGTACCTGACAAATAGTTAAACACCGACTATGTGCTCACCGAATGGATGAGATAGCTGGATGCCTTCCTTCTGTGTACTAAGTACTATGCTGAGTACTATGTACTTGCACACCTAGAACTATACTATGCTAAGTTGTGTGTTGTTTGTAAATGCTGAACAAATGGAGGCTTTGGTGATGTCAGGACAAAGCCTATGACAGCAAGGATGTTGGGCTTCCTGGCAGAGCAGGGCTTGATACCCTCTGCAGCAGGGTGAGTATTGAGGAAGGAATTTGTATATGAGAGTCAGGCTACTGGAATTCTATGCCCAGCCTGGCTTTCAATTGCTACGTAGACTAGGCAGCCTCTCCCCGTCTAGGCCTCAACGTGTGTGTGTGTGTGTGTGTGTGTGTGTACGTTCTATACCCTGGGTCAGTCCTCTGTAAAATGGGATGGAGCTGAGCGTGTGACTCTACTCTCAGAGGGCTCAGGTTCGCATCTCTCGGCCATGTAGGACTTGCCAGAGACGGACCAGCTGCTGGGCAAAGCGAATGTGGTACCCGAGGCTCTGCAGCGCTTTGCCAGAGCAGCGGCTGACTTCGCCACAAATGGCAAGCTTGGGAAACTGGAGTTTGCTCAGGATGGACGCGGGCGGCCTGATGTGGCGGCCTTCGACTTCACAAGCATGATGCGGGCAGAGAGCTCCGCTCGTGTCCAAGAAAAGCATGGTGCCCGCCTACTGCTGGGGCTGGTGGGGGACTGCCTAGTGGAGGTGAGCCTTTCAGGAGGCTATGGGTCCCGAGGTTTAGGAGGAAGCTCTCTTATTGGGGGCGGGGCATGTATGGTCGGCTTGTTGTGGGAGGAGCCTAGGGGCTGCTTGGTGGAGGGGAAAGCTGTGTGGGTTGGAAAATGGTCTTCCCCCACTGGAAATATCTGAGCTTGGGACATACATTGGATTCTCATTGAGTG